TACTTGTTTACCCCCACCACGCTCGTGTTTATATTGTCCGCTTTTATTGACAGTCATTTCCTGTACAAATCTGAACCAATAGCTTTTCCATCCAAATGTGTGACAACAGGCAGTGGATGAATCCTTGCAAATACAACCCTCGCGCATAAATAAAGACTGGAATCTTTGCCTAGCATACCCAGAAATGTTTGAAGTATTTTTTCTTTGTTAAAGTTAACGTCCGCTACAGTAGAGCAGAACGGGAATCAAATTTGTCAGTTAAATGGTCCGCCAAAACATTTTCCTTTGTCAGAAACCATTGCATTCTGCCTTATGTAGTTCAAGTAAAATGAATACATCATACGCCTAGTTAAAACAAGTCACGCACAAGTTCTAAATTGTGATGAACGCCTATTTATGCATTTGTGAACAAGTGGTTATGCACAATAGTCTGATGTTTCTGTTTCCTCTTCCTCTGCATTCATTTTTGCACTCCAATCCTCAGTGTGTATAAGCTGACCGAATGTTCTACTAGTCCATTTCGGTTACATTTTTCTCCATCACATTAGATGAAGGTAAACAAAAGAGTGAATGGCAAGTCACGATTACACGGTGCCATATTATGTTTCTCTGTTCGGCTCTGAAATAGACAAATGCCAGTTTCATTTGAGTACTATTTAAATAGTAAATAACCCTGAGGTTGAAAAAAGGCAAAACTTGTTTTGAAATGATATTCCAAACCACTGGAGTGTTCAAACTGCAGGGCTTCCAATCTGTAAAACATCCAAGGAAGTAATTTTGCAGCCTAGATTATCAATAGATATGTGTGATTTTGATCGGAAATTCTGTTATTGCTATATGCATTCTATAAACAATGGATCAGTTGTAAAATCAGTACACAACAAATGGTATCACAAGATGCATTTGCAATGGAAAAGTTTTGCTTTCTGAATTTATTTTATGGTATTCATTCTGACTCGTGTACTAATCTGACAGATTTTGACCAGGATATTCTTCCTTAGTCCCGATACCTGATAACTGTCGCTTCTAGTGCGATAAATCCAAGTTGTACGGTGCAATCGGAGAAAATCATTGTACAAATCTTCTTCAGCTCATTAAAACAGAAGCGTCGGCAACATTCAACCATTGGCCACTTCTGTTTGAGTGGATATGAGCTGATGCTTTATGAAGCTATGTGAATGCAAACGTAGTTTATCGAGCAGAGTGCTCTTGGATAGGAGCACATGAAGCACATTTATCGGTTTAATCCCCAGAGTATGTGAAATAAAGACTGCCAAATTACGACTGGTAAAAACTACTGACAGATTTTAAATAAATTTCTTTCAACCAAAAATCATTTTCTGAGGCCTGGCTTGGAGCATGTTTTCTTCCCGGCAAATAATTTGTCGAGTCGAAGTCGTTCACAAACCGCTTGAGTGTACAACCAGCCTGAACTTCGAATGAAGTCTCTCCTTCATGTTATTGCGTGCACTTCGTAACGAATTACTTGCAGCTGAACGATAGCCTGCCGTGAAGTGCTTAGCATAGACATTAACCAGTAGAGTTGGTGTAATAATTCCCGTATATTTCACAAATACTTTCTATACATTCAAAGAGCAAATTGATCCTCACCAGGAACCCGTCTATTCTTCAGTTGGTAAATTATATTTTCACCAACGGACTAGTTTGGTGGATCAACGAAACCTGGTGCATGAGAAATAAAATACATTATTAGTAGAGGTGTAGTCCATTAACTATTTGAAACGATCTATCGCTTTTTGAATATTCATCACTTTTTCTATTTTAAAAGGAACCCACAGCGCCGCGGAAAAAATTTCTGTAAATAGCGCTGTCTTTATGTAGCAAGACAAAGATGAAAACACATCTTAAGTGCTAGATCGTCACTGTGTTTTACCAATGTTCAAAGCTGTTTATCTGGTGAACCTGCATTTTTTAGAAAACCAGAGTGATTCATTTAACGATGCTGAAAACGAAGGAACTTTATGTACATGTGAGAGTAATAATCAGGTGAAAAGATCCTCCTCCGCTGGCTGCTTAATAACAATTTCATCTGAAAAGAGTTAAAAAATATTTGACAACTGAGTGATTTGGTATATTATCCAAAAGAGTCTGGCGTTAGATATGTACAACCCACTGAAAAGTTTCTACTTCCTTCGATGATGATAATGATGATGAGGACTGTTCTCATTATTATTATTATTTCAGTACCTTTTAATGGAAGAAATGTTTTTCATAGAAAAAAGTCTTCCTGTATAGTTTGAAGATCCATCCCTCTTTCCGTTATTTTGCTATTTGAAGACAAATTTAAAGGGAAAAATACAAATTTACTTTGATTATATTTATTATAGGCAGTGCTTTACTTTGATTTTACTTGCCAAGTATGACAGTTAAAAAACGAAAGATTTGGCTTCTTTCTATCATATCGGTGTGATCAGTAGCGACTGTCGAAATGACTGAATGAATCCGTTTTTCTCGAGGTGCGNAGACATTGACACGTTGGATTTCCATCTCTATGTAGTTAGAGCTCTCACGCCAACTATCAATCTGAATAAAATTGGATTTGTGAAGAACAGAAGTTTTCGCTTTCCTACTCGGGATGAACAGATGTTTGTCTAACCGGAGAACATCACATCGAGCAACCTAACATTCAGACAATATCCACCAAAGCCAGGTGTCGGACACATCAGATCCCGTGATAAAATGAAAATGTCATGAGTGCGCCTGAGATTAACAGGTGGAATCAGAGATCAGAGTCATAATGGAAGAAATGCCCGAAATCAAGAAACTCAATCTCAGACCGGAAGAGAACGTGATGGACGTTTACAAGTAGCGTGTAAAAATACCGTGACAGTTTCTTAGTGCTAACTGGCTGTCTTATACCGCGGAATACCTCTGCCTCTCGTTCACAGAGAATGGTAATGAGAACAAGGTCACACAGCCATTTCCTGTGTGAAATTCCCTCATGGTGATTGTTAAACATCCGACAGAACGTGGAAATAATCCTTACCTATGTAACTGCAGGAGGCTAAACATTAAGTATTGTTCTCAGATAGTTGGCTACGCTTATTGGGGGTAGGGCTCCAAACACAGATACTGACACAACCGTTGTTTGCTACTAAACTCTTAGTAAGCTGAATTTAATGGCGCAGTAATTGTGCCAACCTAAACAACTCGCACGAAAACATTATTGTGGCATTATAGATGAGCTATTACCCAGTAAATTTTTCAATCGCTAAACGCACTCGCTTTGTTACATTCTCACTAATTCAAATAAATTTCCGATTTTAGTCTACCTATAAAATACTGTGTCTGATATCCTAATTGCAAGCTTTGTTGCAATTAAAGGAGCAATAGGGAGATCTTGTTTCACGAAGAACTGAGAGAATCTAATACCATTGACCTTGAGAAAAACAGCACCATTCGGGAAAAGCATGCTTAAGAGTAAACTCGACTTGAATATATTTTAAAAGGATATTGATTAAAAATCCTTGCGTGCCATACATTGAGGACATTATTTATCTGCTAACCTTTTTAGATGACGATGGTGTTGATCTTGGCAAGCAGACTAAAAGCAAGCAACTAGGGGGTATAACAATGAGGTCATCTAGTATGAGCAAACGAAAGATAGGCAGAAGAAAAGTAAATCAAGCCCGATACGAAAACACCAACCCAAGACAATTTTTGGATTGGTTCATCTAGGTGCTTTTCGAATATCTGAAAGATGTTGAACCTATCAGTCTGCTTCAAAGCCTATCCTCATATGCTGAATAATGCACCTAAGATCACCCGGTCTCAATACCGCAGACGTTGTGCTTTTCGTGGAACTTGAAACTGTTCCCACCTTTGGTGGTAAACCTATAACGTATAATGATGCAAGAGATCCATGGGAAATGATCACAGCCCAATTTGTGTTAATATTAACTTAAAAGATTTCAATTGTATTTAATACAATTTACTAATTTAATTTTAGCCCCTGGATAGGTTTGTTCGCATTTATTGTATAATCTTGAAATGCAAGTAGGCTATAATTTTATGTCAAAATCTATTTTCTGTTGTTCTTTACACCCGTTCTAAAAGAACCAAATTTTGACCCGCGTGGTAAACTTACCACGGACTACTACTGAAACCAACCTCAATTAAGTGATCACACTTGGGGTCACAGAGATATTAGATTTTGAAAAGCTTCTTTGACCTCATTTTCAGTTTATTGCCGGAAGCAGATGATGAAATGAAATGATTTTGCTTTTCATAGTTGAACGGTCACAAAACATGGAATTATATTTAAAGTTGCCTCGGCAATAAAAAGGTCACGAAACCAATTTCCTATTCCAAAACTAGGACTGAAGCTGAGTGCGTGCAAACTGTGCGCATTTTTGGGGTTTGCATTTCACTCTGCCTAATACATTGATTGGTCATTGCCATGTGTTCGCCAGACATAAAAATTTGTTTCATCTCAATTTTAGGTGACAGTGTGGGTGCTTCAGTTCCAAAATCTTTGATACAGAAATATGCTCGGACCGGGAATATTTATTAGCATTCATTCATGTAAGCTACAATCGCGGTGGACTGCTTGACATCTCAAAATAATAATACGCGAGAAAATAATCCAGCTCCTAATCATTTATTTCTCAGTTTTGACAGATCGGAATACAATAACGTTTCCATGGAAAACTAGAAGCAATAAAACGTCCGCATTTAGACAATTTTACCTATGATTGGAGCCTAACTTTATCAAAAAGCGGCACTTGGAGGAACGTTTTTCCCCGTGTTTGATCAGTTATCTGACAAGAAGAGATAAATGGACGGAACTGTTTAAAAAGGTAAACTAAAAACAAAGTCAGAAATGAGTTTCGAGCGCTGGCCACTAGCACCTCAATAGGCATATGCTTGAGATAAAAAAATTGTTACTTACTTTGACAGAAGATTTAGGCTTCTAACAATAAGAAAAACTAAGTTTTATTAAACCAATGATGAGCACACTGAAAATTTTTTATTTTTCCACAAACAGCCGTCTTCTAGTTCAAATCACAGAGCAGAAATAAAAAGAGGAGCAGTATAGATGACAAAATGAGGTACGTTGACCCGGTACAAATCGACAACAGTGAGAACGAAGTTGGTAGAACTACATACAAATGTCGATGTTAAATATTATTGAAGACACAATCTCATTTGACTCTTATTTGGAATTATCTAAGTGACACTTTAACAAACTCTGGCATTAGTTTCAGCATTTCTAGCAAGCAACGTAAACACTTATTTTACGTTGCTTCACTTACAGTGTTAGTTATGTCGTTGTTGAATGACTGACAAAACATGTTTGAAATTCTTTTGTCCACTTTTTATTAAACACCTAAGTGTGATGAACAGGAGACTGGGATAACCCAATAGTCACGAGGACCTGCTATCCAGTGGTGGAAACTGGCAACCCAAACCCCTTGGAGTGGCGAACCACATAAGGCCCCGATTGTTCAGGCGTGGTATTGAACCGGACGATAGCAGAGCTACCTACCACCAAAGTCGGGTGGCTGTGGCGGGACTCGAACCTCGGACCATAGGGTTCAAAGCACACCGGTGACAGCGACTAAGCCACTGCACCACCATCAACACTGAAAAAACCAGTGGTTACTTTTGACCTAGAAAATCAGATGTTCATCATACAAACATCAAACAAACAAGTCAGTCACGATAAAACCCACTGGAAGCTAGGGACACCCCCTGGAGGGGGGAGTAGGTGATTCCGCTTCAGTTCAACACTCACCTTGAGCATTCGAATTTCACGCATTGCAATTTTTCGAATCACAGGATCTTCCTCACTGGCTGTGAATTGTTTAATGGCAACCAATCGACCGGTAGAGTGATCTCGACATTTGAACACAACTCCGTAAGCGCCCTCGCCGATTTTCGAGATCTTCTCATACTTTTTGAATAGCAGACCGTCGGTTTTTCTGCAATCAGAGCAAAATTGGTACATGCAAAGGCTCATGCGTGAAATACGCAATGAATGTTATTCTTTTTCTCCGGAGTTCCTATCAACTTTCATGTTACCCGCAGAAGGATTGATGTCAAACTGGCTCTTCATTTGAACAACCAAAGTATTTGGGATAAATTATCAATCGCGTTGGCTAAAAGCTAACGTTACGTAATGAGCGAACGGAAATAGTTGAGAATTGCGTTCAGTAATAAATGTCTGTTGAAGGAAAAGTCTAGACCAGAAGAATTATGTGGAAATACCAAGCTCCATGCACTTGTGGTTCAATGATTCATATCTGCTCTTCTTTCTGCAGGAAATACGACCACTATCAATCTAGGAAACCGGATTTCCACCTTCATTTATTTATTCTAAACTAAATATTATCTTAAATTAGCATTATTCTTCAATTTAAAAATATTAAGGCTCAAGAAACACATCTAGGATGATAGTATCCTTTAAAATTCGAAATAATACTTTTACGGGAGCATATATAAATTCAAAGCCTATTCCACGATGAGACCAGTGATACCTGTTGTTTCGTATAAACCTGATGTTTCGATTGTATGTTATCCTGGAAAAAGTGTAAATGCCTCGCTATTTAGGAAAAATGCAAATGCTGTTCAGTTTACGCAACACAGCAAATAATAATTACATTTTTGTATAACTAACGCTGACATTGTGACCGCAAAATATAAGGCAATAACTTTCAGGAAGTGCATCGGTAAAATTGGACTCGGTACTCTGATTGCTTGGTTGTCAATACACTAAGCAAAGGGTGTGGCATAGTGTTATCGTGAGGTTATCTGGCTTTATACTGCAACACAACACGGTATCGCATACCGCAATCTGGAACACATCGATTTTTGCTATTGAATGCTGCTATCAATACCAGAAAATTCCCTTCCATTTGTGCATCTACTTCCGTCTATCCTTTTTGTCAATGGGACAAAGTAAACTGGTTTAGAACCTAAAAATCGGTGCTATTCAGTTCAATCATTAGGCATCGCAGTCTCCCCAAACTGTTATTCGATTTGAACAGTGAAAACCAGAAAGAAGCATAATAGCTCTGAGAGTCATGAGAATCTTTAACCTGTTTGCACGAAACGACACGAGCTTTTTTACTTCAGGACCGATTGTTTCCCCCACCACATTTGGTTTGTGATATAATCCACTGAAGATCATACAGTTATCAGGTTCGGTGTGCAAAGCAACAGATAAGCAAGCGAGCCACTGCAACCGGTCTGATTGAGAATGAGTATGTATTGCAAAAACTGGTGCAACGTATCGTGTTCTTTTTATCTTACCATAATTTGAGAAATGAGGTGAGTTAAAGTATATTCAGTCGCATCTTACACGTCACGCAGTATGTCCATGCTCAGAGGATAGAAACAATCGGCAGTGAACAACCTCATCATTTACTTTTACTAACCAGAGTAGTTGTTGAACATAGAACCCAATACAATCATTACAGTAGTTACGAATGGAATTAGTGAGCAATGCTTTTTGGACAATTTCGAACAATTTTGTGTGACCAGTCAACAGTGTACTCGAAAAGCTCTTGGAGTGATGTTTTTCCTTCGGCAGAGCTCATCAGTGATGCATACACCTCCCAACCGGGATTTGAACTTCGTACTCCTCACATAGAAAGCATACGTGTTACCACTGTGCCACTGGGAACAATCATATTTATAATTTCAAGTATGTTCAGACGATTTATTTCATGATAATCGGTTAGTTCATTAGACTAGACAGCAAATAAATGCGGGACGGTTAATTACTTTGTAACTTCCATTCCAAACACTCCATCGCCACTACTTGCCGGACGGGACAAAGGATATGCGCGATTGTTGATTTATAAAACGAGCCAAACTCAAATCTGGCGACATTTGGTGAACGGATGACTGAATGAACTGAATAATGTGCGAGAACAAGGAGCCACAACGATATCAATTAAAAAGAACATTATACATTTTACCACTATGCAAAAATAGTTGTGAGTTAACTACAATAACACAAACTTACAAAATATTTATTTTTCCTTTTCTGGATTACACAATTTTTCAGAAGATCGTTTTACTATCTGAACTCTGCCTGATCCATGATCACTATAGTCTTCAAAATAAATAATAGGTGCTCTTACTTCCTGTTTCATTTACGATGCCTGAAAGAGCACAGTCAACTTTCAGGCACGGAGCCACAGCCACACACAAGCCGTCTAGGAAAATACAGGCATGTGAAAGGTGGGTAGCAGTGATGGGAGTCGAAATCACTTACCTCTGGGACAACATGTTCTGTACCTTTTTCGAACGTAGTTATAGACAAAATGGAACTCTTTATAATCTCTCCGTGTGGCTATTCAATAGTACTCAATAAAGAATTTCAGATCTTTGCCACTTCAAAATTGTTCAAAGACATGTGATTCTGTCAATAAAACGGGTTAATCGTGTTTGGACGTTGGTGTTGAATAAACTATCAGTCCATAAAGAGATACATGCCTGAAAAATGGAACTGAAGTAGTACCGTACAGTAAATGCAACGCACATGCGCAGTGCATGAAATCGGATTGTGTTGGTCAAAACTGAATAGAAAATGGTTGTCTCAAAAAGGTGTGTGGTTTGAAACTGAGTTTAGTGAAGCAACACAACCCGTGAAACTTCATTCAACAGCTGACAGCGTCCATACGACTTTGGTACCACAGTACTGATAAAGGTTTACGCTGGTCCAAGCTTAGATGCATGCAATCGATGTAACTGTTCTTGCGATATCAAGTCATTTCTCACAAACCAATGAAACTACATTCGTGGTAACACCAATGTAAATCGTACAATAAAACGGTCATTTGAAATCATCAGGGAACTTCACTCACTTTGATTTAGGCCTGGAAGCATACGAGTTAGCTCGATCTCAAACGCTGCACGAGTGGAGAAGCCTAGGTATTCGGTGAATGGGATTCCAACTCTTGTTATAACTTGGTGGCTCCCAAGATATCAGTATTCGATACAGCAACTGTTATCCACGCGGTAAAACTGATTTTGGGTACAGCACAAATGCCCATTTAGGCATCATGGTGAATCAAGTCACGTTTATGTATGGCGAGGTTTTTGATTAAATATTGCCGATTACGAAGCTGATGTACTAACAAACAATGTTTTGCATTTTTCTATCCATCTTGTCATGAAGAATGTCTGAGTTAATAATGTTAGCTAGAAAGTTTTTATTATTATTGCTAATATTACTATTTAATAATAAATCCAATCATCGAAAACATATGCTCATCTTCGTTTTGTCTTTCGATTGTTATGATCAAAATATTTAGGCTACCTACATGTTTTAATTGGTGAAAAGAGATTTTATTTTCCAATGGGTAGTGTGTACCAAGGCAGAGTGAAGTCACATGCTCCAAAACGTGCATGACATCATGTGAATCCAATCAACTCAGATGGCAATCATGTGCCACAAAAATCTAGAAATGTAATTAAATGATTTAATCCGGTGAAATCTTTGATGTGTGAACGGAGCAAAAACAGAACCCTCTAATCGTAGTCAGTTTACGTTGGATCAATTCCAATAAAGGAATGAGAAAAACGGGTGGAGTTTCCGATCCCCTCGAACTGCATAGGTCACATGAACGTTGACCACGCGAGCAGTGACCATGACTAGGAAAAATGGGGAGATCATGTGACCAATTGACATTTTTACGTCCTGTGCATATAGCTTTAAAACCAAATTAGATTTCCCAGGAATCGTGAAGGTTGAAAAAGATCAAGTTTTTACGACTTCAATGAAATCTTATGAATGGATATGAATTGAAGAGAGGAGTAGGTAGAAAACGCAAATAGCCCCGGTTTAATACAGTTCATAAAATTGTTTTCTCTCCCATGGATACAATAAATATCAAAGTGAACTGCTCGTAAAGAAATACACATATAAGGTGATCTGATAAATAATATATTTGAGCCGAAAACTCATCCACTAGGATGAATGAAACAATTCGTGAGTTGCTTATCTTGATCTACTATTTATTGAAATTACAATGTGACAAAGAGCAAACAAATGATTTCTTTTTCTTTAAAAAAGAAAAGCCACATTCCGTGAACTTTGAACTATACGCTAATTAAGGTCTGGAAAACTGTATGCATTTCTGATATTCACATTATGCGTATTATACACCCACATACATAAAATCAAAAATGTCCACTGTGAATGGAAACTGCCACTAATATGGTAGCGGGAAATTTCCATTTGCCTCTTAGCAACCATTTTTTGTTTTTACTTTATTTAGTTCTTTTTTTCCACTGTTCCCATGGTTTTCGTTGAGCCGCAGTCCCAAGAGAGATTTGTTAAGAACCACGTGCTTAATGTGAGGATGAACTTCGACTCTCGTTATCCAAATGACAAGAACATTGCTCCATTAGTGTGGCCCCGATATCAGACTAGTGGCAGTCAAATCAGGAAATTCTGTCGGCTGTTGACAGAAAACAGTCTGGTTCAGGGACAACAATATCAATGCCGGATAAAGATATTACTATTCTCACAAATTATCTAATCGACCCAGGATTCGGATGAAAAGAAGCAGCGCAGAATTTTGGAGAAACCAAGGAATTATAATAGATTTAAACAGGGTTATTGCATGCATAGTGTCGCCTAGAAATGAGTGGCTTTCCCTTCATTTTTATCCTCTATAAAAAGTGCATTTAAATAGAGCATGCAGTTATTTAGGTTACATACTGCTCTCAGTTTTTGCATGGTGTTATTTACCCATATGCTATAGCTTGCACATGAAATCTGAACTACGAGGAGATGGGGTACACCGCTGCCTATTTGGTAATACCATAGTTGATCCGGTAGGTCGAACCCTATGGATGGGTCACTTCTCGCAAATTCTCAATTATTAGTGCAAGTGTATACGTAAGATAGTGCGCCTATATACATTCATATTTTGATTATCAACATGTATTCTGTACTCCCAGTTGT